CGACCAATGTGAGCAACTGAGTAGTCGTTAGGGACTAGCCGTCTATTTTAAAGAGGTAAGGGGTCCAGAGGCAGTCGGTTGGGTCAGTTGAGTTCTGTTGGTGGGAACGGTTGACAAGACGGTTCAAGACACGTGTTAGCAGATGAAGAGCTGATAGGCGGTTGGAAGCGGTTGTTGTAACCGGTTGGGCTACGGTTCTGAAACGTTTTTTTTTTAGGGAATATTTAAGGATTTGGATTTATTCTGGAAAGAGATCTTCAATCATCTTCAAACGACAGCAAAGTCAGCGATTCGGGATCATCCTTTAATTTTCAGTATGTAGCATTTATTTTCCAGTTTATTTATGTACCGTACAGTGTTTAGAGATTTCTAATCTCAGATACTAATTATATCAAATTCGACAATAATTTTCTATTTTTCAAATTTTATTTTTTTATTGTTGAAAAATAGCATCAACAATATGTTGATTCTTATATTTATGTTTTTTATTTGTGCTCAGCAGAATTTTATCCCCATCCAAAAAACATCCATTTATTTGTTCTATTTTGTTCTAGTTTACTGTGCTAACAATGGACTTGCTTTGCATGTATGGTTAGATTCATTGCTCTTTATTTATTTATTTATTCATTTACTTATTTATTACCATGGTTCCCATCTAAGTTGGAGAAAATGTATGATTGATTGCTTGTATGTATCCGGAGGAAGTGTTGAAATTCACACACATAATCAATGAAGATGCCGTGTGTTCGATTGAACATTAATTAATTGATTAAATTTTAACTGAAGGCAGCCACGATGGCATTACAATATTTAAAATTGATAAAATCAACAAAAATAAATACTTAACCATCAAGTGACATTTCTTAAATCATATGAGTTTATGGAAAAAAAATCACAAGAACACACACACCAAATATTTACATATATATGATACAATACCATTTAAAACGTTACAGTTAAAAGGTTACAGTTAAGAGTGCAAAAAGTGCTAAATGATACCGCCTCTGGTTGCTCTGGAAACCATCAGATGGAGAAGAATGCATCAAATATTTTTTGCCAGCAAGATCATCTCACCACACCCTTCACATCATTGTCGATCTATGAGATGTGATTACATTAATCCCTATATCATCAGTTCGATTGGTAACCAAAATCGAAGTATATATGGTCGATTGCCAAACCAAAATTACGATAAATAAAAAAGTAAGATGACGGCGGCAACACCTTCGGCGCTGAGAACAGCGACGACGGTATGGGGATAAACATGTTTCCGTACGCCATACGTCATAAAAGAATCACACATTGTAAGAAAAATAGGTCGTGAATATAGGCGGAAACAAGGCTATGTTGAGAACAAAGAATATGAGCAGATGTGTTGACAATACGGGCAGGAACACGGCCGTATTCAGAACATGACCGTGTAGAGGGGCATGAACATGGGCTGTTTAGTGCAAGATAATGACCACGGCGGTGTTGCTAAGTCACCTTTCTGAATCATCCAATACGGCCGTGTTAAGTTCCTGTCAGTTACCATGAACTAAAATTGATAAATTTTAGTTTGAATGAGATCAAAATTGATAAAAAAAATTTCAATGAGACCAAAATTGATAATTATGATATGCAATGAGATTAAAAATGATTTTTACTCTATTAAAAATATATCATGCTTCACAACTTGCTTTAGATACTTAGTTTCAAACCTCATTCAATAGTCACACTGAAATTTTACCTAATGCTAATATATACAGCACACCCGCCTCAAAATTTAATTGTATGTTATTAAGTCCACAACGCGCGCACACACACAATAAAAAATTCATTCCTAAAATGCTTACAAATAATAATACCCCAGAGCATGGGGTAAAGAATCACTAAAAATATTCACGGAAACAACTTTGTAAAAAAAAAGATTACTATAGTTCAAATGCAAGCCCTAAAATGATGAAACAAAAACCCAAAGAAGATGGAAACGTATTACTCGTTATCCATAGTAATGCCTTTAGTTTCCAAAGATGGCAACTCTTTCTGCTTCTTATGCTTCAAAGACCGTTGTCATGCAATATTGTGTTCATTGACTTCATGCTTTGAAAACTGCTGTTTAGGGAAGACCTGGGGGCCAACATTGGAGATTCTGGTCATGATGAAAAGTAGTGTGCCAGATAGACAACAAGAATAAAGAATTGAGAAGCGAAATGAAATGGATATTGCAATCAACTGAATCTCAAAGGCCTAGTATCTATGTTACTAAACAAACACATTTATATATCCAACCCCTACATCATTCCTTGTACAACAGAATGCGAGCAAGCATATAATATCCTAGATTCATTCCCAAAGTATTTACTCAAATGGTAAATCCCTTGTTAGGATGGACTTAAAGGTCAAGAACCCTAAATCCCAAAATAAAGATCATAATATTAAATGGCTAAGCTGTCAACATTGTAAACATGCCGCAGTTCAAAGCCACAAGCTACCTGTACTGATGTGTCAATGTCTCACAAGAATTGAGTTAGGCTTCTGTCCTTTATGGGCATTTCCACTCATATGGGGAATTGTTGGATAATGGATTATTTATGCAACCGATTAATTGGTGAGTGAAAATACGACCAACAGTAGTAATTAATTTGGAAGAAATAAATAAATATTATTTTTTTATTTTATATGGGGCTTGGTTAATATTTTGGCTATTTTTCCTGTCTCGACACAAACCAAATTGTGCAACCCAAAATTAAACCCGGGTATATGACCTAAGTCACAGTATTATTTTGATAAAATATTATTCGTTGGATGAAGTTATTATAATCTCTAACGGAAGGTTTTAAATTAGAATAAATTTAAAAAAAGTTTGAAATTAGAATAAATTATGATCGCCAACGTTTGTTATTAGAATCAGTTATGACCGCTTCAAACGAAATGTTTGAATTTATAATAAATTACATCGGTAATTAAAGTCATAATTATGGTCGTAATTGATTCCCTGCCATTTTTGGCAGAGTGGAGATGCCCATATAAAGGGCCTCCCCGTCATTCTAAAAAAAAAAAAAAAAACCAACAACTCTCTCATCCTCTCCACTCTTCTAGCTTTTCGGCAACCTTCCCAGCTCAATTCCTCTCTCGCCTTGCTCGCCAGAGCTCCAACGATCAGAGGTGCCACTCTCATCGGAGACGAAAATTGTTTTATCTTTAAATTAGAACGCCAACCACATGAGGCACTACCGGGACATATCTAATTTTCGGAAATATGATCCATCCTCGACTCGATTTCACGGTAGATTTTATTCTCGAAATACCCATTTAAACTGACATTTTTGCATTGGGGAATTGTTTATCATCACATCATTTAGTACAAATACGAATACAACATATCGAAAATAGACAAATATTGTAGTGAAAGAACCAGTGATCAGAATATTTATAACAGGAATCAAGAATTCAAGATCTTAATAAAGGCATAACCTAGATTGACAAGATATGGGAAAAAAAAATAATGAAGACTATTAGACAAAATTTATGTATCCTTTCATAGACAGAGAAGTGAAAACTGTGGCAGGAAACCTTGACAACTAATTACGACGGAACACAATTAATCATGAAAGAGCATCCAAACAAACCCCTTAGGGAAAGAATTAATTCACCACCAATTTCTAACAAGGATCGATGTTCACTTTCTTGAAACTAATTAATCAAAAAATTCTTTAGGAAATATTTGAATTCAAGCATTGATCAGAATTTGCAAGAAAGCTCAGGAAGAAACTTCAGCAAATCAAGATTCCCAAATCGGTACTGATGGATGGAGGCGATGGCCATGGGGATATGAGTCAGCGCCAATAAGGTATAGTGTTTCCGTGGTAGGGCGACATCGCCGGCCACCGACGAAGATGAGCGATGCACACATAGGCCAATTTTCCCAACGGTGCGCGTCGGGCATCTCATATATGTTCGCGTCGGGCATCTTTAGCGAAGGAGACCACATCGGCCATCTCATGCATAGGTCGTCTATTTGAGAGGAAAGCCCACGTCGGTCATCTATTATTATCAAATCTATAAGAAAAATACTCCCGTCATCCCACACGTGTCCACATTTTTATTTCCATCTGTAATATAATTATACACTTTAATTTCATATTAAAATTTTTAATTTATAATTTTTTTTAAAATTTTAATTAGACTAATTAGTTATTTTAATTTTAATTTAAAATTATTTTTATTATACAATAATTATTTTTACTAATATATTCATAATTATGTATTTATTATATTTCTCCTAAATTTTCAAAAGTACAACAAAAGAGACCCGTAGCCGGAACTAAGCACTACAAGAAAAGAGCAAATTACTCACGGAAATTATTCACGGAATTATTTCCATGAGTAATATGTCTTGGTTACTCATGAAATTACTACGAAAATAATTTTGTGAGTAATTAGGAACAAAATTACTTACAAAGTTTCTCATGTGAGTAATTAAGGATGAAATTACAAACGGAATTTCATTCCATCTATAATACATACGGAATAAAATATTTACTCACGTAATTATTCACAAAATATAGCTTTGTGAGTAATTAACGATGGAATAACCCATGGAATTAAATTCCGTGAGTAATTATTTTTAATATATTTTTTATTTTCCTTTTCTTAAATTTAAATTTTATTTAAAAATAATTAATTTCAATTTTAATTTTATTTAGATATATATTTATTATTTATTTATTCTTTAAAAATTATTAAATAATAATTAATTAATTAAATTATTACTCTATATAAAAATAATTAAAATAATAATTTTAAATTACAAATTAATTATAAAAAATATTAGTGTATTAAATAATAATATAATTTTAATTAAATATAATTATTTAATCAAATTTATAAAATTTAAAATATAAATATTTAATAAATATGTATTTTTATTAATGTTAATATTATTTTAATTTTATAAAAAATTAATACTTATTATCTCGGTTCAATTGCAGTTCCGGTTCAAATCGGGACTGCAATATGAAATCGGCGATTCTTCAAAGCTGATTGAGCAAGTCTTAACCTACCCGTTCTCAATCTTTGCGTGCTATACATCACTCTACACTGCTGCGGTTGATTTTTGGCATTTGATAGCGACGGTGGAGAAGGACGACGGCGGTGGTGGTGCTTTGAACGCCAGGCAGTAGTCTTCAGCGGCGATGGCTCTTAGATTCTGTCTGGAAGCACCACTGATGAGTGAAAGATATATATATGTAATAGTTTTTATATTATTTAATGGTTGATCAACCTAAACCTCCTTCACACTCGCTTTCACGCCTTTTTCTGCAGGTTTTAATTTCTAATCTCTCCTCATTCATCTGATTTGTTCCTGCTGCTAATTTCCACTGCGCATTTTTTAATTCAGAGTAAGTAAGGTTTTCTAGATTATTTATTTATTTACTTTTCTAAATTTGTGTTTTGTGGATTATGTTTGTTAAAATATTGCTTGGACTAGTTCTTGGCCTTAGCTAGACACCTCCAGATTGGCTCTGTTACTTAATCTAACACTAGGCTGAAATTGTTATGTTGCTATACACTTAAAGATTGAATGTGAGCTATTCAACACTACAGTTTTTGGAATTACTCGCATTGGATGTAATTCCTTGTAATGAGAGTCATGGTACACCAATGAATCCTTCTGCTAGGTGGTGGTAATAGTCATAGTCGAATGATATGGACAATGTAGGATTGCTTCCATAAACAAAGAGAATTGTAGTGTGATCTTGTTCATTTCCACTACTTTCTGAAACATAGTTGACAGTCTATCCAGGGGCTGTCCACCGTGCAAGACTCGATGTTTTAGACATTTAGGCCTTAGGTTCTACTTGTAAATATGATCTTATCCTGCAGATAGGCTGTTGATGTTATACCTAGTGGAGATGGGGCTCTGGTGTTGTTCACCACTTCGTGCATTTTCTTGGCCTTTTAGTGTCCGGTCAATTCTGAGATTTTATTTTCTAATATATCCATTGAATTTGAGGATTAAAGAATGGATAACAATGGTGAGGTTCTCTGAGATCATCTGTCTGCATAAGTTTGTACAGTTTTTAGTTGATGTATAGCTTACTTCTTAACAAGTGTGCTGTTATTTTACTTTTGTTGGGTCGTAGGTTTTTAGATGTCTTGAGGAACAGGATCGTGATCTCACCACTAACCCAATTATGTGAGATTGCAAGACAGACATGATCGTGTGAGTATGTTAGCCACATGGTGTACCTTGGTATCGTAGTTTAAATTGGCGGGCATAACTGATATTCTAAAACCTTTTGAGATGTTGAGAGGAAGTTGCATTCTAGGTTTTGTAAGTTTGGATTATGCTCATTATCAACATAGTAAAAAGTTATATATTTTGGATTTCAATTAGGGTTATATATGTTTGATTATTTTTATTATGTACAGATATTTTATTATGCAATCATACTGCAGCCGTTAATAAAGTAGCCACACACAGGTTCTTTTCTATGTCTTGAATGGGTTCTGGTGTTTTGCCAATTTTGTGTAATCTATGTAATTGAGTATGTTCTAAAATATGCTCCGCGTGGCATCGATAATACTTGTAAACCTTTTATGGTGATGACAAAATCTTAAAATCAAATTAAGTTTTACAGATTAGTATGTTGCCTGATCATAGGTATGACTCAATTATATTTGAAGTTTTTTGGTGGCTTCTTAGGACCTTATCATGGATGCGATTCAAAGTCATTTTAACTACTCTGGTTGGATGTCATAGCTATACATCTGGCATTCTGGCTTCAATATCTTCATCTGTGATAGGATCTGATAGTACTGTTCTTGTGATATGGTGAGCAGCTTGCAGGATTTGAGTTAGAGGTTGTCAAAACATCTGCTGGTCATGCTAGGAAACTTGCAGCCAGTGTTGATTTCAGTACTTCTCCTGATGGTACGTATTTCTTTTGTGCCTTTTGGAAACTATTTCATACCGTTTTCTTAATTCATTAAACCATTGCCTCTGTGATTTGCTATCCTTGCAGGTATTATATGTGTAAGAGGTGATGGTATTTTAAATGAGGTCTGTATATGTCACTGTTTTTCTTCCATGTGCATCTTTATTCTGGTTGTTGTAAGGAACTCTTATCTAGTGTATTTAATGTTATATTTATAAACGTTTTTTGTCAACCCAGTGAAATTTCACAACAAGAGTTGAAGAACATTATTGAATATCCAAATTGCAATATAAACATTATTATCTTCTGAAATTTAAGTCATTCCATTTTAATTAAGTTGGTAATGGATGGGTATTACACACGAGATTTATATACTATAATTGCTAATCTAAATCATTAATTTGATGTTTCTGTTGTTGTCTATTTTGTTTTAAAATGTTTAGGTAGGAGCTTCAAGTCTTTTGGACCTCATGAGACAGGATATATGATTTCCATCTACCTGCCAAAAAAATCTTTTCCTATTTATCATTATTGTTTTATTATTATTATTATTATTATTGATTTTTTGGAAAGAATTTTTTGCCTATTAAATGTTGTTTGTACCTAAAATTCTTGTTTTTTCAGCATGATTGGATGTGATGCTTTCTTTTTATTACATTTTGAAATATCTCATTTGTTGGGGTATTTGAATAATATGTTTTTAATGGTCAGGCTGTATAGATATAATATATCTTAAATGTTTCTTTAATTGCATGTAAGAATGAAATTACTTCTGGCTCTGATTATGGTTCATGCTGCACCTTTGGAGGAAGTTGGTGAATTTCATTATTTTGTTTTATTACCTCCACAATGTAGGTTCTGAATGGTTTACTTAGTAGAGACAACCAGAAAAAGGCTATTTTAATCCCAATTGGAATCATACCTGCTGGTTCTGATAATTCTTTAGTCTGGACTGTTCTTGGGGTCAGAAATCCGGTATCTACGGCAATAGCAATAGTTAAGGTAGTTTTATTTGTTTTAGCTTACTTTGTTTTGCCTTATTTCAATATTATTGAATTACTCACCAGGGCAATTTTAACTGTACATATATATATACATATATATATTGTATTGGAGATTACGCATGTAGAATGTGATGTCTGGATGTAGTCATCCTATTAAGAAGTGGCAGTTGTACTTCCACATGTGTCTGGTGTTGAAGATTAATTGTGTGCAGGCTATGTTCTAGTTACTCAGGATTCGAGTTTTATGCCTTTATTAAATTAAATGATGAGATTATTTTCTGTCTGTCTTTGCCACCAAGAGTGTTTATGCAGTCTTACAAGTGCTGCTACATCTAGATAAACATTCACAAAGTTGTGTATCTCTTCCTCTAGGCTGATTATTTTCCAAGTTATTCCATTGATTTTAGTGTTTTCTTGAGGAGCCTGTAAGTTCCTACAATTGTTTTGGGATTACTTATAAACACTTTTAAATATTTTATAATATGTAATGAATATGTGGTTTACCACACCCTCTAATTCAATGAGCATTTCTTCGCATAGCTTTAGCATGATTTTCCTTCAGAAGCATTGTTTCTCTTGAAAAAACTAGTTCATTTAACTGCACCTCTCAAATTTATACTACTCAGTTGTTATTACACCGGTCATAGTAATTGCTTTGCCAGGTTATTGTCATAATCACTATAACAACCTTTTATTGTTCCCTCATGAAATGGCTATCTTCGACTGGTATATTATTCTTCTTTCACAACATGATTTTGTTTCTGCTGATTCAGTTTGACTGTTTTTGTGTTTTTAATTTAAAGGTCTAACAATTTTTATTTTTATTTTCTAAACTGATGATGATATATTATAATCTTAAGAAGTAGGTTATTGTTGTGATTGTGCAAGTAGTTTTATGCCTATATTTAAATTATTGTTGGAGATTTCAATGGTTGATTGTCATCGATGAAGAATTTTTACTTATGCAATAAATATTATTTCAGAGGCGAGTAAGTTAGACATGACAGCTCTAGGACGAGCTTGGATGTATGACAGGATGCACAATGGTATTCTAAACAGAAACTTTACTAATGGGGTTAACGAATTTTTGAATTACTGCATGAACAACCCAGATATTGATAAGATTGACAATACTATACGTTGTCTGTGCAAGCGTTGTAAGAATATCAGGTTTCTAGCAGTAGATGATGTCAAATATCATCTGTACTCTAGAGGTTTTGTACCAAAGTACGATAGATGGACATGTCATGGTGAGAAACATGATGGAAGTGGTAGCTCACAACAATATGAACCATCGAAAGTTGAAAATATAGTTGATCCAAGGATGGGGGATTATACTCAAATGGTGATGGATGCCGGAGGGCCCACATTTGAGGCACACGTAGTGCAGGATGAACAACCTAACCCAAAAGATAAAAAGCTGTATGAACTCCTTCAGGCAGCCGATCAGGAACTATGGCCTGGTTGTACGAAGGCAACGTTGTTGTCTGCTGTGGCAAGAATGTTGAATATTAAGGCTGACTTCAATTTGTCTGAAAGATGGTTTGATGTCCAGTGCCAGCTTATGCATGATGTGATGCCCGAGGGCAACTGTTTCGTAAAAAGCTTCTATGAAACAAAAAATTGATTGAGGGATTAGGCTTACCGTGTGAGAAGATAGATTGTTGTCCATTTGGTTGTATGCTATACTGGAAGGAGGATGTAGAGTTGGTTCAATGTAAGATATGTGGAAAATCACGGTATATAGAAAAGAACGGGAAAATGGTGCCTATCAGATATATGTTTTATCTCCCAATCACACCGAGGCTTAAGAGGTTGTACGTGTCCTCTCAGACAGCATCATATATGTGTTGGCATGCAGGTCATCGACATGCGAACGCCGATGATATGTGCCACCCATGTGACTCAGCGGCGTGGAAAATTTTAGATGCGAAATACCCTTCATTTGGAGTTGAGCCAAGAAATGTTCGATTAGGACTTTGCACAGATGGATTTCAACCATTTGGCCAGTCGGGAAGACAATACTCATGTTGGCCTGTCATTGTGACACAATATAACCTCCCTCCTAATATGTGTTTGAAAGACGAGTACTTATTTCTATCTCTTGTGGTGCCTGGGGGGGCGAACCCGAAACAGAAGATCGATATTTACTTGTAATCGTTGATTGAAGAATTGAAGACTTTGTGGATCAATGGGATTGGAACATTTGATTTCTCTCGGAAGGAAAACTTCATTTTGAAGGTTGTGTTGTTGTGGACTATAGGTAAGCATATTTTCAGTAATTATGTCTTATTCATTTGCAAAAATAACATGATATATATTGAATCTATATATTTTCATATATAGGAGATCTACCAGCATACTCTATGATGTCTGGATGGGGTACTTCCGGAAAAACAACATGTCCAATATGTCAAGATCAAACAAAAACTTTTTATCTACCGAAAGGATGTAAGCAATCCTGGTTTGATACACAACGCTGGTTTCTTCCAAACGACCATCCTTACGATCGGACAGGAAGAGGTTCAAGAAGGGGAATGTAGAAAGGATACCTCATCCACGTGTAAAATCCGGTGAAGAGCAAATTAGAGAGATTGATCAGTACGGTTTCCTAAAAGTAACCGAGCCAGAAGCGAAAATTTAAATAGAAGGCTTTCGCAGGTGTGTGGGTGGCGGAAAAGAAGTATATTTTGGGACCTTCCATACTGGTCTAACTTGCTGATCCATCACAATATTGACGTGATGCACGTTGAGAAAAATGTTTTTGAAAATATTTTCAATACGGTGATGGACGTGAAGGGTAAGACTAAAGATAATACTAAGGCACGGCAGATATGACTGAGTTTTGTGATAGAAAAGAGCTAGAATTTGACAACATTAGACAATGCTATCCTGTTGCTGCATATACATTGGATAACATGCGTAAAAAAGAGTTTCTAACTTGGGTTGAACAATTGAAGATGCCTGATGGATATATGTCCAACTTGGGACAATGTGTCAACATGAGCAAATATCAGATGTTTGGCATGAAAAGCCACGATTGTCATGTATTCATGCAACGTCTGATTCCGATTGGCTTTCGAGAATTATTGCCAAAAAAGATTTGGGAAGCCATTACAGAGTTGAGTAACTTTTTCAGACGCCTAACATCAAAGGTAGTTTCATTGAAAGATATGGAACTTCTAGAAGCTGAGATTCCTGTCATTCTTTGCAAGTTGGAGACAATATTTGTACCCGGGTTTTTCAACAGTATGGAACATCTGCCGGTACATTTGCCTTATGAGACAAGAATAGCAGGCCCAGTTCAATTTCGTTGGATGTATCCTTTTGAGAGGTAATATCTCGATCCTTAGAGTAAGTTGAAAAGACCTATACAATTGTAGCAAATAAATAAAACAACTTTTTCAAATGGATGCAAATTTATATATCGTTTGAAGCATATGTTGAATAATAAGGCACAAGTTGAAGGCTCCATTGTCAATTCTTTCCTAAATCGGGAGGCTAGTTTTTTTTGCTCTCATTACTTCGAACAACATGTGTTCACACGTGGAAGGAATGTGCCTAGACAGGATGATGGAGGACCGAGATTAACTTCAGATATTGAGATAAAAGTATTCTCACATCCTTGCCGCTTGCAAGGCAAGCCGAAGAAGTGGTATTTGTTGCCTCATGAAAGGCAAGCAATACAAGCATACTTTCTACTCAATGTTCCCGAATGTGATACCTTCATCTCGTAAGTTTATGTACGCTTAAAAATATTAAGGTATTCAATAGAACTACCGTTAAAAATCTGATTTATGACTTTACAAATTTAGGATCTTCGAAGAGACGTTGAAGCGAGAACATCCTTTAATATCAGACATCGAGGTTGCCTCGCACTTACAAAGGAATTTCACCTCCTGGTTTGCCCAATACGTGTGTGTTCTACCATTACGTCGCTCTAACCTCATCTTAAACAATCAGTGTAATATAATCTATCATACATTGCAGGTTACTGAACAAGACAACATTCCAAAAATTTATAAAGACATTTCACACGGGCCGTTGGTGGAGGTCACTAGTTATAATAAGTGTTTCATTAATGGTCATCGTTTCTACACCGAAAAGTACGGTGCAAAGAAGGCTTCATACAATAGCGGAGTTTGTGTTGATGGTGGGGGTTTAGAGTACTACGGTCATATTCAAGAAATTTTGGAGATTGAATTTCCAGGACTACCGATCAAGCGATGTACTATCTTTAATTGCGAGTGGTATGATCCAACTTCCGGTGTTGGAACGAAGAAGCATGGAAGATACAATTTGGTGGAGGTCAATAAAAAGAAAAAACTCCATACTTATGAACCGTTCATACTTGCAATACAAGCGACACAGGTATGTTATCTTCCATTCCCAAGTATGAAAAAGGACAAGGCTAATTGGTTGGCAGTATGTCGAGTCAGACCCCGGGGTTGGATCGATATGAGTGGCGAGATCGTGGAAAGTCAGGAAGAAGTTGACACATACCAAAATGCGGTGGTGGAACCTTGCACTATTAAAACACCCACAGAAGGGGAGCAACTTTACTTGGCATCAACAGATGGTGGGAGTGGTATACCAATAGACAATTCAGACGGTTCAGATACGGATGACGAAGAAATATTCTTTGAAACTTTTTCTACATCGGAACTTAATCAGCTCAGTCCAACAAGTTCCGATTATGATGTGTCTGCTGAATAGGTCCTCCAAAACATTAATAACTTTTTACTTTACTAATATATTATAAATTAACTACATGTCTTCTATAATGCAGATGTCTCAAGAAGAAGAGAAGATGTTACGCCAGCAGCGAATTCGTCAGCTTGCTCGATCCGCCATGCGCTTGCAGCAGGCTGTGGAGGAGGAGCGGGTTGAGGACGTGACAAGTACATCTACTGGTATGTAGATTTAGTATTTTGAATGTATATTAAATCCTTGTACAACAAACCTTTCACTAATATCAGTTAATAATTTCACTGCAGGTGCCACGACATCAACATCAGCAGATACAACAACGGTTATTTCACGTGGGACCACCCAAGGTGATACATCAGGTTAGAATGCATTGTACTACTCACTGTTGTAGTATTATTTTAAAATAGGTAGACTAAAACTCTTGAAAATAGGAGTTGGCAATTCTGGGTCTGAACAGTCTGCGGTAGGGAGCCATGACAATGACGGTTTAATTGAGATTGAGGTGCGCCCAGATGGTAGGTATGTGCCTACAATGTTTATGTGTAATTCTACAATCAAGTTACCAATAATTTCTTAATTTGTAGCTATAAATTACATACAACATTTTTTGGCCGAGTAGTGCCACACGGAAATTACGTCCGATATTCACAACAAAAATTACCCCCGAGGGCTACACGTGGACACATGTACCGCTAGTGACACAACAGTTCTACGAAGAGGAAATGAAGGTACAATTAAAGCACGCTTATTATGTTGTAATGAAGGACATATATTTACCCATCAAATTTTATGCTAATTTATAATGATTAAATTTATTGTTTGCAGAAATACATTAAGTGGAAACCCGAACACCATGAGGTTGTGCACTCTTACTATAATCAAAAGGCCTGTGAAACATACAACCACTGGTTGTATGAAATACGCCATGAAATTCATTTGGGAAAAGAAAAGCTCAGCAAAAGAGTTCCCGCCATTGTGCTCCAGAAATGGAAGGAGGAATGGACCTCCTTGAATGCCATTAAGAAGTCGGTGACAGCAAAATCTAACAGACGAGGCGGTAATCCGAGCGGTCCTGCTGAGGCCACGCACACCGGCGGGTCTCGATCATTCATGGAGACTTCACAGAAAATGGTAAATTTGTATTTTACATATTAATTGTGAATATTTTTAAACTATTGTATTTAAAGACCATACAAATATAAGAGTAGGGTTTCGAGAAATGAGACACATATGAGTGGACGCATACGAGGCACCACGATGGAAAGAATTATTGCAGTACGAAGGCAGCCCGACTAATAGTAAGTCAATCAATTGATATTTTACTAAATATTGTTCACTTAATACAAACTATATATATGCAATATATTTTCTTTACAATTTCTAGGAAGGCATGGATGTCATCGAGGAAGGTATGTCTCAATTTGGCGATACACAGTATAACCGTGATGATGCCTTACTTTCCTTGGTGCATCGGGATAAGAAGAAGAGGATATTTGGGCTTGGATCGCTAGCATCGACAGTGCCACCGTACTGTAACTTATTCACTAGTGATGGTCGTACACCTAGCACTTCTACGAATGATGACTGGCTAGTGCGCTTGGAGGAACAATTTGATCGTTTTGAAAATTACGCCCTAACGATCATGCAACAACTTGAGAGGATGAATGCCCGACCAGACCGTTGCGACCCCGACGGCGATTCAGGTGCGCCACCTGTTTGTTGATTTTTGTACCAAGTATTTGAACTTTAATATTTTACGGATTTACTATTTCAAATATACGGTTATGTTTACTTCTTTTTTGTGGTATCCATCGATTATGGAACTATGGTTTTAAACATCGTGTGATTTGATCGTATTTTGTTTATTGGATATTTGGCTTGTGGTATGATTTAATTTGTGATTTGGATTTGTGTTGTCATTATATGATTTGGGACTGGTATGGATAAATTGAAATATAAAGTTTTACGGATTTACAGATTTACTATTTCAAATATAAGGTTATGTTTACTATTTTTTGTGGTATCCATCGATTATGGAACTATTGTTATAAATATCGTGTGATTTGATCGTATTTTGTTTATTGGATGGTTTAGAATTGTTTAGTTTGTGGTTTGGATTTGTTTCGTCGTAGTAAATGATTTGGGACTGTTATGGATAAATTCAAATATAAATATTTACGGATTTATAGATTTATCATATCAAATATACGGTTATGTTTACTTCTTTTTTGTGGTATCCATCGATTATGGAACTATGGTTATAAACATCGTGTGATTTGATCGTATTTTGTTTATTGGATATTTGGCTTGGAATGATTTACTTTGTGGTTCGGATTTGTGTTGTCGTAATATATGATTTAGGACTGTTATGGATAAATTGAAATATAATTTTTTTGGGTAGAAAAAATTACTCACGGAATTACTCACGAAAATTATTCCGTCTCAAAAATCATGTTGATATGTTGCAAGGGAAAATTCAGTAAGTAATTCAGTGAGTAAATGACTCACGGAATTACTCATGAAACATTCCGTCACAAGTAAAAGAGTTTTGTTGATTTTTACTTACAGAACTACTCACAAAATTTGTTATATGAGTAAATTTACTTACAGACAAAGTCCGTGATTAAGTACATGAGTAAATTTCTCACGGACAGAATTTCGTGAGTAATTTCGTGAGTAGTTTACTTACGGAATTATTCATGGATTTTTCTTGTCAGGAATTACTTACGAGGCATTTACTAACAGATTACTTACGGACGAAATTCTGCGAGTAATTCTATGACTAATCAATTTACTCACGGATTTTTCATGATTACTCACAAAATTCCGTGACTAAAATGCAGTTTTTTTGTAGTGAAGGGAGTATAAACAATATACTAAAAATAAAGTAACCAAAATAAAATCAAATATTAAAGTAACGTAAATCATAAAAAATAAAATTTCAAAAAAATTTATATTTGAATATAAATTCAAATTTATAACAAAAATAAACATAGAATATTAACTAATGTGATTTGAAAATCAATTATAAAAAAATTCATAATTTAATTCAAATTTAAATTGGATTAAACATAATTATTCATAATTGGTATTATATTAAAAATTAAAATAAATTTGTACAAAATTTATATGTATTAGCGAGAAAGAAAGATTATTATTATTATTATTATTATTATTATTATTATTATTATTATTATTTCTCTTCTATCATGAATTTGCAATAGAGAAAAAAAAAAGTTTATGGAATATCTTAAAAATAAAAAATACAATAAAAAATATAAAATTACATAATAGAAGTACGAATCATAAATCAAGTGTTCATGTTCCAATCTAAATTCAAAATTAATATAAATAAAAGATAATTAAGCACAATCCATATCATGTCAAAAATTGAAAAATAATTGAAAGAAATTGTTACGGAAATTCCAGTAAATCAAGATGAGACAAAAAAGATAAAAGAATACAAGAATTTGATTACCCAGACACCTGTTAAAGTAATAATACATTGATATTTTACTATAAAGTACGCAGACACCTGTTAAAGTGAAAATACATTGATATTTTTATAGGCTAAGCCTATGTCAATAATATCCAAATCATTTCTCTAAAATATAAAATATAATATCTAAATCATATCCTTAGATTTTAGGATATAATCAAGTTTCATATCCCAACAATCTCATACTTGAAGACTGATGTCATCTTTCACTTCAACATTTTACTTCACCGGCAACAACAGCGCCAAGCCTTCTTCTTCACTCATCAAGGCCACTTGAGGTTGAACACAACCTCAATTCATCTAACGTCAACACCTTAGGCTGTCTTTCAGGATTGCTCATAAATCGGCTCACTACTCCCACTGCACGTGCTTTTCACCTCCTAAAGGTATCAAAAGCATCGTATTTACACTTAAGGAAATATACCCATACCTCCCTTGTACATCGTCAATGACCGCGGTGTAGTACTGTGAGCTCCAAGGGTCGATACAAAAGTTGGTTCCCGCAGGTCCGTATGAACCAACTCCAACTTTTCCTTTTCCAGGTCTCTCCCACCCTTTGAGAACCCCACCTTTCATTGCTTCCCAAAGATACAGTCCTCGTATACTCCAATATCAATGGACTTGAGATCTGCCAATCTTCCCTTTGAAATGAGCTCCCTTATCCTTTTTTCGCTCATGTGTCTGAGACGAGAATACCATAAATTTGTGTCATTATTTATGGTCACGGAACTGATTCTGTATTCCATGCTTTTCGTCATGTAGAGAGTTCCATCTCTTCTCCCTTGGGTCACCATAATGGATCCTTAGGTTACCTTCCACGACTTAGTTTAAAAAACTATCGAGTAACCTGTCATGGACCGAATTGATCAACTACACAAGACACGGAATTAAACTAACTAAGCGGAACTAACTAAGAAAGAAAACAACAAATTAACTAAGCGGAAACGAATAAAGCGAGAAAGAGGATAATTGAAAGAGAAGCAAACCTAAGTAAGTACTAACGTAAGAACGACCCGATACCCTTCTAGCATCGAACCATCCTCCACGAAGGCACCACCTCGGTCGACACTTTGGAGAGCTCTTCCATCTTCCCCAAATGCCACGAACTTGAGGCTTTATACTCAAACCCGAATTTTTGAACTAAACCCCATGGAGCATGCAATGGAATTGCATTCCATGAAATATTAGACTAAAAGAGAAAGTATTGCTATCAAGCATAACTTTCCATAAAAGGAAATGATCATAAAAGATCAAATATTCACAAAAATATTCTTGTTTGGTGTGTTTTACAAAGCACCTTAAGAGTCCTATTTATAGGAGTGGGGGAAGGGGCAAGTGGAGTGATTTTCCAATGTGGGATAGGTTTAGTATAACTAAGTAACCTCTCATTGATTGACACCTAGCTAATGGTCCCCTCTTGCATGTGAGAGGCATGTGAGAGAGCTTATTGTATATGTATATGTATAAGTGGTCCCAATAGATGGTCCCCCCCCACTTAAGCATGTGCAACCTAGGTTTATATAATTACCTATTAAACCCTCTATTTTAGCAAACTCCTAGGTTTGCACAACTTTTCCGTTAGTTTTCCGGTTGAGGCGTTGCAAGCTCCAATGTAACCTTTACAACCACGGCACTCGCCCTAGGCTTTCCATCAAGTCCTCGCATGTTGTAACATAGT